ATCTCTTGTACCCCCCACTTCCATTTAAAATTTTTGATTTTGAATGTTTGTACATTTATTTTATCCATTTCAGATTCAGAATGAAAAAAAATTTTCAAACACATTACATTTGTCATGTGTTTCTTATGGTTATCTGGAAACAGTTATGAAAATTATTCCTAGAGTTTAAGGGTTTTTTTATTTCTTTTTTTGCTCCAAATCATATGCGTTTATTATTATGTTTATGATGCCAAACTTCCTTCAAATATAAAGGAAAGATAGGTGATCATTTCAGACTCTATTTTTGCACTTTACTTCAGTTAGTGTTTGCTCAGCCTGTTTTTTAGTGACAAAATGTCAAAAACTGGAAGGGGTTGTCAACTACTCGGTGGTTTCCAATGTATTATTCAATTTTTTATTATCAACATGTTTTTAAGTTTTAATTTTTGCCATTTCTTTTGATCTACTACATAAAATGTTATTGATTTTTTTTATATTTTTATTAAAAGAGTATTATGTTAAATGCAAGTTTTAAAATATTTTTTTATTATATTATATTTTTTATCATTTTTTTTTAGTTTAACCTTAAAGTTCTGCTCTACTTCATTATTTATGATTAGTTTTACTACTGTTGAGATACGGTTTTAATTTAGTAAATTTTCATGAACTGAAATTTACTTTATTGATCATTAGCCAACAGTTTTGGTGATGAAGTTGAATTCAACACTGTCAAGGTAAGTATAATTTTGCTTTCTTGTAACACTATTAAACAGCTTTTTATAATTATTAGTGTCATTGCTAATTTTCTAACTATACCTGAGTTGACCAAACAGTTGATATAATTCTAAAAATTTAATAGTTTGTATATTAAGAATTGTTTAAGCACTTGGTTTACGTAATTTGGCTCTAATAATTTCCCAATATTGCCTAAAGAGACAAAGTTTGCCATGGATTTTGAGGAATGGTAATTGTCTCAGTCCAAAAAACTGCATCACCATTGTGCAGGGTTGTCACTCAACCTGGAATACCTGGAAATAGCATGAATCCCAGGGAAAACCTGGAAAACTTAGGGATTTTATAAAATTTCTATGGAATTCAAAGGAAATGTGTATTTCTTAAAAATTTTGTACAAAAAATTTTTCAAAAGTTGACGTAATTTTATAGGAGGGGTCTCTGGAAATTTGACAAATTGTTGACAAGGGGAGGGGGGAGAGGTGAGAATTTCAAAAAATTTGTTGACGTAGTTAATTGACAGCCCCTAAATGTATAAGCATATTATTTAAATATAACAAATATTTCATTATTTAAAAAGCAAAATATTAAGTCACGAAAATCTCTTGAAATATATTTCTTATAAAGAACCTTTTAAGATTCTTAGAAGATTCATAAATATACTTTTCTTTTTTTTTTATAATTTAAAAAAAAATGGAAAGATAATATCAAAACCTTTTTTTATTCTGTCAAACGATACCATTTTTAAAAATGTTTTGCAACAAATTTTAAAAATATATACTAACCCGCAACTATATTGGCCGAATATTGGCTATGGCATAAATGTGAGAACAGATTTTTAAAGCAAAATATTAGGCCTAAACTACATTGGCCAAATGTTGGCCCAACGTAGTACGATAATTGCAAAAAACCGATTTGTAAAATTGCAATATTACGCCGAAAAAAAAAACATTGGCTAAATGTTGGCCCAATATAGTGCGATATTTGCAAAAAACCGAATGGCAGAATTGAAAATAATACGCCGAAAAAAAACATTGGCTAAATGTTGGCCCAACGGAATAAACTTGCCAATGTTAAAACTTACGTTGAGCCAACGTAAGCTTGCTGTCTGGGAGATGTTGTATTTTTAATTTAAAGCAATAAATACAACCCTGCATTAAAGATTTTTTTGAAAATTGGCCAGAATAATGACGCAGCCAGATATAGGTCAGTTTATCCCAAATAACTAGCTATGTAAGTTGGACGGAGTACCATAATGGCGTCAAGAAAAATATCGAAAAAATAATAAAAAGTGCTTTTTTTAAATTGTTAAGTCCAGATATAAAAAACGAATTAGTATAAAAAAAACTATCAAATACAGTAATTTAATAAGCTAAATAATCTTTTTAGATGTGCTAGAACCCAAAAAATGCAATTTAAAATAGTATATGTACTTGTCAAAAGGTGTAAATAAAATAAACTATACAGAAAACGACTTGAAAAATCTTCTAGCTTCTTTTTTAAGAAACGTTGAGGAATAACCTTCACAGTTCAACATTTTTTATTAATTTTTGCCAATGAAATATTACTGACATTTGGGTTTGAAATTAGATAACATTAAAATAATTTCCAAAAATTCGCCAAAATTTATATTCTGAACTTGTCACACGAAAAAAGTCACGTGACAGAAGTGCCTAATTTAGAGTACGTAGGTTTCTGCAAAAAAAATTAGGGCGATGATACCAAGGTAGAAATAATTAGAAATTAATGGCTAAAGTGCAAAGCTGCTGGTGTTTGCAATCTTTGCAAACTTTCTTTTTTGTCAAACAAAAGTATTCAATACTTGAATAACTTTCTTTAACAAAAACAAAAAAATTTGTATAAAGGAAGCTAGATCTTTAGGAATATTTTTATTATTTTATTATATTACAAGAAATGTCAAAAATAAAGTAAAAAAACCTAAAACAGTTTTATATTCATTGCAAGTTTTATCAAAAACGAAGAAAATAATATATCTAGAAAAAAATTATCAATTAAAGAAAAATGGTTTGCATGGTATATGTTGTGGCTTTAAAGTCTCTCCCTTTATAAAACCATAAACCAAGTTTGTTTTTGCCTTATCTGCTATTTCCAAAATTGTATAAGAAAAATAGTCAATTTCGTTTCAAAGGATAATAAATCACCAAAACCAACCAAAAAGGATGATAAATCACCGAAACCAACCAAAAAGGATAATAAATCACCGAAACCAACCAAAAAGGATGATAAAACACCGAAACCAACCAAAAAGGATGATAAATCACCAAAACCAACCAAAAAGGATGATAAATCACTAAAACCAACCAAAAAGGATGATAAATCACCGAAACCAACGAAAAAGGATGATAAATCACCAAATTGTTCTAAGTAGTAAGTCATCAAATCTCACCAAGCAATAATGAAGGCAAAACTTAGAAAAAAAACAAATGTACAAACAGCATAAAAATTTATGAGATTTATGGAATAGCGGCAAAAAAAATGAAACAAAAGTGAAGTCAAATTGTTATTTTGGTGGGGGTACTTAAATTACTTATTAAAGTTAAATTACTGCATACCGTAAAATTGAGACCAATTTTTTTGTTGAATTAAAAACTATATGTGTACCCATCATTAAATGTGTACCCATGGTTTAAAAAAATTGTCAGAATTGATTAAGTAGTTTTAAAATGTAATTTAAAACCGTCCAAATTTCAACCGATCTTGTTGTTTTTTGCAATGTTTTTTTTAAAAATATTGATACTTTATAATATAAGGTTTTATTTAGTTAAACATTCTTACATTATTGCAATATCTTTTGGCTTATTCTATGCTATCTAACTCGACTTCTTCTGACTTTCATTCAATTATCCTTTGTTCTTCTTAAACTCACTTACTCATGGTCTGCAAAGCGGATTATGATGCTCTTTAGTGAGCCGATTTCGTCTTGGCGGGCCTAGGTAATGTAGCCTCTGCATGGCAATTAACCAGAGAAGGATTAATCACAATACCTATTGATGTTAGCAATATTGACCAATCGCGCGTAATCAATATCAACAAAATTGTACAAACTGACAAACAAAACATTACAGCAACTTGCTACGCTGATAAGAACAAAACAAATAGCACATTAGAGAACAAGGTCCTCTTTAGGAAGAAGAGGAGTGTATAAATGGTGCCTTATCTCTCTAGCCAAATTTTGGTTGCTAAAATTTTTTCATAAATAAGTTGAACATAAAATATTTAAAACTATATTTATATAAATAGCATCTTTATATAATTGAAACAAGGTTTTAAATGTAAAAAAAAAATCAGATTTTTTGAACGCGAAAAACAATCATTTTTGTATGAATTGGTAAGCATAAAAAGTACATTTAAAAGTAGAGAATCCAAAAATTTTGCAAATATAAACTAACAGCTTAACATCACCTTGGTCAAATGAAGTAAGTACAAAAATACGTAACCTAACATTAGTTTAATCAAACAAAGTAAATAAAAAAGTAACTTTTTTTTCACAATTTTATAATAGGGACCATCCATAAAGGACGTCACAATTTTCTAGCCAATTTTTGACCCTCCCCCTCTTTGTCACCGATTGTCCTTTTTCCCTGTACCCCCTTGAAAAGGACGTCATAAAATCTTGACCTCTCCCTCTATTTTAAACCCCCAAAAAATGCTACAATTTGCTGCTACACCTTTGAAAAATAAAATTAAAAAAGTTCTCATACATTATCTTTTTAAAAACACATATTTACATAATTCTTTATGTAAATTGAACTAAAATAAAAAATCTATAAAGTGACGTCCTGTACTGACAACCTCCCCCCTCCTCTTATCCTTTTTTGTCCTTTTTATGTTGACCCTCTACCCCTCCTTGTTTGGATGACGTTCTTTATGGATGGCCCTATATCAAAGTTTTGTCATATTAATAAAATTACACGTATGGAATACTGACGAAAATTTTTCTTTACTGATGGAAATACTGGTGAAAAAGGATTTTTTTTAGCTTTTGCATTCAAGGCAAACTTCCCTAATAATATCATTAAAAATTAATACGTTTTTAATGCATTTAATATCTTTTTCAGCTTGTACTACAATTAATTTTTTACCATTACACGTAGGTGTTTATTTTTTCCGTTTATCACGTAGGTTGTCATGTTTAAAGTTATGGGATAAAAAAAAAAAGAACAAAAAAAAAATTGTGCAACTCACTAAAGCTTAAGAATTATAATTAGTTTTGATAGTTTAGATTATTAATTCATTAACTTTAAGTTTTTTAAAGAAATAATTACTACTTTTGTTTATAACACAGTTATATTTTATTATGACATCTACTTATGTTTTTTTGGACTTCAACATGGATACCATGCTAAAGATAAACGATAAAGTAACAATTCGTTTATTTCTATTCATTTAAGAAAAAAGAAATTTGTTTTTAACACACACACACACACACACACACACACACACACACACACACACATACACACACACATAAAGTTTGTTATGTTAATAAAATTGTGTTTAAAGATTTCTACATCGCAGATGTTGATCTGCTATCAAGTATGGTTTCTTGGGCTCTTCTTGTCTTTAGATAGAAATTTGAAAATAGTAAGTTTTTTCGTAAATCAAATATTTTGGAAATTTTTCTGTTTCTAAATGCATTAATCAATGCATTAATCCATGCACTAACTTCTCTTATGACTAGGGTCCACATAAATAATCGATGAACTTCTGGAATTAGAGAAACAACATCTTTTGAGAAAACAAATGACAAATAATACTGCGCTACCAAGCATGGTGTGTAAAATAATACATGTGTAAGTGATATTATTACTACGGTTTCTGTGATATAGTTTTTAATTTGAATATTTTTCTGAAATCGAATAGAACTACCTTGCAGTTTTTTTTTAGTTTGAATCAGCATTAACAGATTAGCAAAAACAATCATAAAAAGTGAAGCCAGTGTTATAAAGCCAGTCCCAATATAGAGTATAAACTGTAAATGCAAGCTTGATGTAGCATACACTACACTATAAAAGACAGCAGTACTAAATGTAAAAATAATAACTAACGAAAGGTATCCAAATAAATCGGAGTCTTTAATTATAACTCCAAAAATTTTGTTGTTATGAAATACAGTAAGATAACGCTCGAAAGAAATTAATATAAAAATTGAGCTTGATAAGCCTAACAACCAAACTCGAAAAAATGATATGATAGATATCTCTAAGCAACCAAAATTATCAATGAGTTTAAGTAATATTGTTTGAGATGGCGAAACTATCAGAGCATATAACATATCAGTAACTGATAAAACAAAAATGAGCTTCTCATTTCGCGTGTACTTTTTGTTTTTGATTGTTATGTGCAAACCCAAAATTAAGAAACTATTTGTTGCAAGTGTAAAAACAGCATTAAAAATGTAGCACGAAATTAAAAAATTGCTATTGGTATATTCCGCCGAGTCTTTATATTGATATTGACATATTGCATCTTTATTACTCAACATGCTTCTTTTCTATTATAAAAAAAAAGTTTTATAATGATAAAATAAATATTGAATAATTTATATATTATAATAAAAATTTAATATACAATTTCCTTAAACTGAACGATGCAAAAAATATTTACAAGTCAGGAATTTTACAATTAATTTCGCGCCTTCTGCATTATTTATTATTATACACCTTTTCAAGATGTAATTGAGAAAACAAAAATTGTAATTAAGAATCGTAAGATGTAATTGAGAAAACAAAAGTTGTAATTAAAAAACGTAAGATGTAATTGAAAAAACGTAAGTTGTAATTAAGAAACATAAGATGTAATTTAGAAAACGAAAATTGTAATTAAGAATCGTAACATGTAATTGAGAAAATGTAAGTTGTAATTAAAAAATAGAAAGATGTAATTGAGAACACGAAAATTTTATTTTAGATATCGCTTTAAAGGAGTAAGTGTAAAATGGCGCTTAAAAAAAATGGCGCGTAAAAAAATGGAGCGTATAAAATGACGCACTTAAAAATGACGCAAGATTTGTAGCGTAAATTTAAATTTTTAGGGAAAAATTTAGGGAAAAATTTATAATTTTTGGGCAAATGAATTTAACATAATAAACACTAAAAACATTTTAGGGAAAAATTTATAATTCAATTAAAAATTATAATTAAAAATTATATAATTAAAAATCACTTCATTGATCATTTAAGCACCGACTTGTACGTCTTCCATATTTAAAATAGTTGCATAGTGTGTGGTTGTGTGTTGTACCGCACGTGCACAATCTCCTCCCATTATAGTATTTTTCGCCTCAATTACAATTCGTTCTAAGTACTGCATGCGCTGTTCCGCAATCCCGTCACCTAATACAGGTGGAATGCGAATTGCATTTTCAACGTTACTTTTAATTTTGGACCAGATCGTTTCCACCGGGTTCAACATTGGGCTGTAAGGTCCCAAACGTAACAACTGAGCTAGTGAATTATCAAACACCCTTTGAAAACGAGCGTGACAAGGAGCATTATCTGTTACGACGACCAAATCCTCCAAACGATTCCCGGATGTAACCCACTGGTGAAACAGCCAAATCCACTCGTTACAGGAATCTGCTTTAAATGATCCCCTGCGAGTTTCTATCATGACGACATTTGTAGTTGAAATAGCTGCAATCAAGTGTATGTTTAAACCTTTTGAAGCAGGTACTTTCATAATTGCTCTTTTTCCTTGTCTCCTTGCGTTTTTCTACAAAAAAGGTAAATTTGTTTCATCCAACTAAACTATCTGACGACCATTTGTGATATGTTCGTTGATGTTTCTAACATATTCAGCTCTTTTTTGTTTGTTTTCATAACTGTTCATTGTAGAAGGCTCCTTGTGCACTTTTTTTAATGAGAACAATCTGCCTTCGAGGTAATTTGCTATTGTTGTTGTGCTAACATTTATGTTAAATTGTCTTAATATCTTTGTTTTGATGGCCACCAATGTTAATTGACAATCATTTTCAATCCATGTTAATGTTTCTTCGATTTGATCTTCGGTCAACTTTTTCGGTTTAAAACCTCCTTTTCCGATGAAATTTGAATTTCCGCTGCGAACCCAATTGTATGTTGTCTTATATTTGATACCTAGCGTTTGCGCGAGATTCACCCAATCTTCAAATCGCTCCGCACATTCAACAACTCTTCTCCTGTCATTTGGAGAAGATAAAACGTAAGTTTCCTTTCAACTTGTTCAGTTGTGTGTATTTCATGCCGACAAATCGGACAACTTGAATCTGGTTGTTCCAGAACTGGACGTAAACAAATTTGGTGACATAAATGTTGACACGGATTTAGCTTAATCACAGGCTTTCGGGTCATAGTGTATTGGCATATAACACAACGATCTTTCAATTCCATTATTATTAGTTGTGCATACAAAAGCAAAATTTAAGATTATAACTTAAATTCATGTCCAAAAAGACCTTTTGTAACAACCTGCAAACTTAGACTGTGAATTTGCTATTTTAATTTATGTGTTCTCAATTACAAGTTACGATTTCTCAATTACATATTATGATTTCTCAATTATATCTTATTTTTTCTCAATTACATGTTGTGTTTCTTAATTACATGTTACGACTTCTTATTTACAACTTTCATGTTCTCATTTACATCTTGAAAAGGTGTAGATATATGTTATAGTCACTACTAGAGGTACTTGTAGTAATTATTTTGTAACAACTTGATAGAGTAACTGTTGCAGGTAACTTTAATATCGATTCAAGCAATTGATTGCAATACATATTTACTTAAAGAGAAATTTTTTTATGAACAAAATTTCATATCGCTGTGACTGATTTGATTAAAGTTTTTCATTGAGGTTTCATAGTCTTTACTACGAAGCCAAACTTTTTATTTTTTTATTTTGCATTTTGCATGACTGATTTTGTGCATCCTGACTGTAGATGTTTCAATCGCGTTAACTTTTTTATGGAGCTTTTTATTTGCAAACCCAGAGAAACTATTGGTAAAGACAACATATATGCAAAGCTTAATGATGTTTTTTAAATAAAATAAATTGCTATCTTTTATTATGACTGTCTACTATATTGTATTAAATTATTATTATCTTTAAGTAATTGTTTTTTGTGTTGTTTCTGATGAAATTTTGTTGAGTCGTCCTATACATCGGACTATTGTTTGTTTATACCTTGGGCTACTACATAAATTACAATAAAATCAGGCTTTTAATTTTTTATATTTTGTTTTATTCCATTTAACTCATGTTTTTAAATATTTTTTAATAGATTGTTTAATTAAATATAAAATGCAAAGGTTTTACTAAATAAGTTTATTTGTCTATTACAAACAAAAGTATGTTGTTACTCAGCTACTTTTCTTTAAAAAAAGGTTTTATAAAGATAAAATATATAGAATAATTTACATATTAAAATATATATAAGAATAATCATTAAGTACCATGGTTTATTTAACTTATAACTTCTAATTTAGTATATTTAATGAAGTTACAACCGCATTACTTTGAATAATATATATATATATATATATATATATATATATATATATATATATATATATATATATATATATATATATATATATATATATACATATATATATATATATATATATATATATATATATATATATATATATATATATATATATATATATATATATATATATATATATATATATATATATATATATATATATATATATATATATATATATATATATATATATATATATGATATGATATGATATACAAGAACGTGTAAATATATAATTCTATCACATTAACCGATTGTTGTTTTAACATTTGCTTGTTTGATTCAATTTTATATGCAAAGGTATTTTGCTTAATTAGTTTTAGATTTTTGGTATTCTTTTCTTTTAAAATATAAAAGTTTTTATACTTATTTCCTTATCATTTAAATATAAATAAAAAGAAAAGTTTTTGACTTTTCACAACTTAAGATGTAAATTCTCAATAAGAATATATGTAACTTTTGTAATTTATCAAGTTTTTATTTTTATGCAGGTACATAATTATTTGGTTTTGTGCTACTTTATTTCCTTAACTCATTGCGAATAATAAGGAACCACAAGCTAGTTAATAAGGAACCACAAGCTACTTTAATAAGGAACCACAAGCTAGTTTATGTATAAACTTAGCTGTTTTTTTTAATTTTTTATTATAAATTTAAATAATAAAATTTATTTAAATTTAAATAATTATATAATCAACTATAGTATTTGCCATTCACCAATAAACTACACCCTAATTTAGTTTTAATAAGAGTCTGGAAGAAAGTTGCATCATTTTTATCCATCAGATTAACTCTTAAATGTAAGCATTTTAGTTTGTTGCAAATTTTACGGTTTCGAATGTTAAAAATGCTTTATGTGCATTTCATAATTTGCAAATTTTAATGCAATTTTGAAAATTACCTTTAACTGATTTTGAAAATTACCTTTATAAATAAAGTTTTGATGTAATCAATGTAAATTGTTAACTAAAAACCAACATGAAATAATATTATTTAACAACACCAAAAACGACTGCTACCACAGCATCAACTAAAACAAGTAAATTAGTTTGAAGTTTTTAGAAGTAATTTTTTTTATTTTCTTATACTTGCATATCATTAATACTTGATTACTTATTTTATTTTTGGTTTATCATATGACATATTTATGCCGTATAATAGAAGAACTAAATTGACAACTGTTACGTTTTGTTAATTCTATTTTTATAATTTGTATTATGTAAATGTTTTTTGATCATTTGGTTGTATATTTCATTATATATTACTTATAAGTTTTGAATGAATTTGCTAAAAAGATATATGTTTTAATTAAAAATCTCGTTTTTCCCAAAAAATAATAATTCAATTCAGTTCATTTTTCTTTTATGAATGCTTTATATATTAGCCCTTCCCATTTTTAAAGTCATGAACAAATTTTATTTCACGGAGTGTCTCAGAATATTCCCAAGATATTGTTTTGTTAATGAAATTTTTAAATATTTTATTTAGGATGACTAGTTCCAAAATAGCAAGCGCACCTTAGTTCGACGCCGACCTTAGTTCGACGTCAGTTCGACGCCGAGCTAACATATTTTATATAGGCTAGAAAAAAAACGTCAGCTAAATGAGAGAAATACTATGAAATAAAATCCCAATATGGTTTTCTATGCTTTGCTTAAACAATTGTTTCTTTATTCAAAAATCAATATAGTTGTTATTTTTAGTTCAAAACTTTATTTTTATCTTTTTAACTTAATTTACTTGCGTATAATAGTATTTAATAGTATACAATTCTATCTATACAATTCTAATCTATACAATTTAAAAATTTAAACAATCAGTCTGAATAAGTATTTAGTTACTTTCAATATTGTTGTTAGAAAATCACGATAAGTTTAAGTAGGTCTTAAGTTCTTAAGTTAAGGATCCTATATTTTCTAAGTTATGTTACTGATCTCTGTGTTAAGTCTCACAATTAGCATCACTAACGTTTGCTGATGATACCAACCTAACTAACTAATACATATGGGTACTGCATGGAATTCGTCTACTTATCTTGTGTGATATATATAAGGCTCTTTTGATGAAAAAGATCTGGGGCTCGTATGGGAAAGCAAAAAAACTGAAGTTCTATTATTTGATATCGAGGCAGACTTGAAGAGAAATATTACTTAAAATAAAGATGAATGCCTAGCCGAACACTACATTCGGGTACCATAAGGTGTTCGTGTGGTTATTTAATATCGAATGTATAAGGACTTTATTAGTGGGATCATTCTAGGAGTCCTACGGGATACCATTAAATAATCAGCTTGTCATTAAATGATATCGAGACAGGTTTTTAAATGGTAATCTAAAGTTTCAAATTATTTAAAAACAAATTAGAGCTAAATTTCTTTTTTAGCTTTTAAAGAGTATTGCTGTCGTTCTTTGTTTAATTTTTAAGTTAAACAGTTTTATCGAATAAATGTTTGTTTATTGTTTGTTGTTGTTGTTTTTTTTAGCGCCAAAGGTAATTGCTGGTAGTGCCTAACAATTGAGGTTAATTGCCGTAAGGATATTTAAAAATATAATGTTAATAATACATTATACGTTATTTGCAAATATAGCTCAGTGGGAATGGCTAATGAATGTATGTTCGGAGTTCCGAGTTCAAATCTCATTGTTTCTTAACTTGCGCTGCCCTCAATTAATTTTAGAATTAATTACCGGCACTGCCGGCAATTAATTTTGAGCAAGATGTGCTTTAAAGACGTTGAAGGTGATTTAAAAGAATTGGATTATTTTTTTAACAATACAAAATTACAATAATGTATTGTTTATCAACAATGTATTACTCATTATCATGATAATTTTTTTGTGTTATTTATTCTAACTTTTATCCGACTCTTTAATGAGTTTGAGCAATTTTCTTATCATTAGAGTAAATAAATGTAATTAAGAGTAATTAAATGTCAAAGTTAATGTAACAATTCCATAACAATTAAATAACAATTAAAGCAACTTTTACATAGTTTTCTGGAAATCTTCTTTTTTCAAATATTTTACAATCAGTAATAAATATAATTCGTTAATAAGCAGTTAAACCCACTAAGTTAGTGTATGCATCTCTCTCTTAAATATGTTACGTTGTAGAAAAATATAATCTTTACTTTTTATATGAGTTTTACTTGTTTTGATAAATATAAAAGTATAAGAATTAAATGTTTTTTATACTAACGTGTGTTAAGTCCTCACCCACCTCTGGTTCATATCCATATATAAATCCATATATAAGCATATATAAAACTTGTTCATATCCATATATAAATCCATATATAAGCATATATAGAACTTGTTCATATCCATATATAAATCCATATATAAACATATATAAAACTTGTTTATATCCATAAATAAATCCATATATAAGCATATATAAGCATAAATAAGCATATATAAAATTTGTTACTGAAAACCTTATAACTATTTGTAGAAATATTAGATTTCGATAACTTTTTTTACTAAGGAACAACTTCTGTTTCACAAAAATTACCACTTACATTTAAATAATACTCTATAATGAAAATGTTTCCATAGATAGAAGTCGTAGTTAGGTGCTCCCTCAGCTCATATTATCGAGATAATATGAGCACTTTAAATTCGCTCAAAAAATTAACACTAATTAAGTAAAAAAAAATTAAACCTAAAAATTACCTAACAATTACGTAACAATTAGAACAAATTTTTAGAATATAATAATTTGTTATTAACAAAACTTATCATTAAAAGATCAAATTTTAAGCCACTTTTTGTTGAAACTATACTACTTTTTTTTTTTTTGTTTTTTTTTTGTTGGTTTGAGTGAATAAAATAAAAAAAAATTTCTTCAATTTTTTTTTTACTCAAACCTTTGAAAAATAAAAATTCAAATTTTTTGAATTTAAATTACTGAAAAATTTTTAGTATTGTTAAAATGTTAAAGTTTTTTTACTATATTTTGCTTTTATTTAAAAAGCAATTAAAACCACTGACTTTAAAGTAGGTAACTTCAATGAAAAACACTGGGTTATTTGAGCGCGCTCATGTTACACAAAAATGCGATATTTAAATAAAGTCAAAACTAAATGATTCTAATGGATTGGATTTTTAGCTGACTTTTTTTTCTTAATGAAAAAATTAATTTTATTATTTTAGCACCAAAATTTCGCGCCACAGATTTATTCATGTGTAATGATAATATTTTGACAAAACAAAAAAATTCAAAAGCATTTTAATAAAATGAGACCCGCTAATAACTGCGTATAACTTTACGCTAATTATACTGTCTCCTTTTATCACCACATAAAGTTGACTTAAAAAATACAAAGCAACATGAACTTTATCTTTTGGTAAATCTTTTGGTAAATCTTTTGGTAAGCTTGTATTACTTACATGTTTATATTACCCGAATCTATCTAATTCGAAAGTTGTCACTTAAAACAGCATAACCCTTTTTTTTCGAATAATTTCGATAATTTATCAAAATCTGTATTAATATGCTGTATTAATTTAATATTACCCAAACCCATAATATCCTATAATATTTGAATATTGAATTTAATGCTGCTGCCTTTACTCCTCATTCATGCGTGTTTGACACGGACCTCATGAAAGCAATTGCACCCGAATTAATAACAAAAAAGAGTCGCAGCACTTTTTCTTATAAGAAAATATGAATAAAAGTAAATTCGAATATCTAACTTATGTAAACTTTAAGTTGTGTAATGTTAAAAATTATACCAAGCTTTACCGTTTTACTTTTACTAGAAAATTGCATTGTTGAAATATCTCCTTAGTTTTGATTTATAGAATTTATTTGCCGTTTTATAAAGTTTTAAGTATATTAAATAGTGTTAAAACTTTTATCGGACAATACGCTTTAGTAGCTAAATTGGTTAGCTCGAAGAGTTTCTGAAACACAATACTGTGGTTCAAATCTATTCACTTGCACTTTTTTTTAAAAAGATAATCTTGATTTTTCAATATACAAAATAATGCATTTTTAAAGTCCTACAGAAACATATACTATATCAAAGCAAAATCTATTAAATTTTACTTTAACAATCAAAAGTCTTTTCTGATATATATATTTTTTTTGCTATAAATATATACGGCCAGATTGAAAAAAATTAAAATGTATATTGTTAAAGGAAGATTATCAACCCCTGCTATACGACATCAATTACAGCGCATTAAACCACTGAGCTTGTTTTGAAAAAACTAATTTATAAGACTTGTTTTAATCAGAGGTTAATGCCCCTCTGACTCACCCTAAAAACCCTGCAAGTGTATCAAATAGTTGTATATAATATGTTTGGTTGTTTAACCTATTAAATTGAATCTTTGAGGAAAGCATTTAGAAATAACTTCTGATAACAATTTGGGCTTTGTAGTTAGAACATCGGCTAATTTATTACTTTTTAAAAAATTAGCTATCCTTTTTCATCAACAGAGGGTAATACCGCCAGAACTAAAGTTTTGTGAACACTAATGTACTTGAAATATTTACATCCACACTCAGAATATTTCTTTCTTTTTTTGTTTACTTGAATGTGTTTCTAGCTCTGGCTTGATAATGCAATCTTTAGATAACCTTCCCCTCCATTTACCCTATTCTTAGCATCAACATTCTCCGGTTCAAGAGAACTATGTTGTAAAACTGTTGCAACAAACTCATCAACATTATTGCTTATTACACCAGGAATAGTTCTTTCAATACACTAAATAATAACAAAACAACTTTAAGTCCGATGATAATTATTTATTTTAAACTATCAAATTTTAAATTAATCAAAATATAAAATTATAACCCTAGTAACAAACAATATTGGCGCAATATTATTTTCTTGCTTTCAAGCAAGAAGCAAGCAATACTTTTATGCTTATACATAAAAATTAATATCTGTGTTTCTCAATATCTAGAACCATCATGTTTTTCATCACTAGGGCCGGGTTTACTAAACTATTTAAATAATTAATTGCTTTGCATGTATGGTTTTGGAGACTTTGCAATTTTCGCAGTTTAGTTTTATGGGTGCTGGCCCATATAA